GACGATCGTGTCCGACTCGACGATCGTGTTCGACTCGACGATCGTGTTCGACTCGACGATCGTGTTCGACTCGACGAACGTGTTCGACTCGACGATCCTGTCCGACTCGACGATCCTGTCCGACTCGACGATCCTGTTCGACTCGACGATCACGTTCGACTCGACGATCACGCTCGACTAGACGATCGTGTTCGACTCGACCACTGTGTCCCTCTCGCCGATCGTTGTCCGACTCGACGTGTTCGACTCGCCTATCGTGTTCGACTCGACGAACGCAATCGGCGATCGTGTTCGACTCGACGATCGTATTCGACTCGACGATCGGGCAGTGTCGTGTTCGACTCGACTATCGTGTTCTAGTCGATGATCAGGCAGTGTCATGTTCGACTCGACTATCGTGTTCGACTCGACGATCGGGCAATGTCGTGTTCGGCTCGACTATCGTGTTCGACTCAACGATTGGGCAGTATCGTGTTCGACTTGACGATCGTTTTCGGGTCGACTATCGTGTTCAACTCGACGATCGGGCAGTGTCGTGTTCGACTCGACGAGCGTGTTCGACTCAACTGTCGTGTTCGACTCGACAATCAGACATCGGGCACGATCGTGTTCGTGTCGGGCACTGTCGTGTTCGACTCGACGATCGGGCACGATCGTGTTCGTGTCGGGCACTGTCGTGTTCGACTCGACGATCGGGCACGATCGTGTTCGACATAACGATCGAAGACGATCGTATTGGACTCGACGATCGGGCGCGATCGTGTTCGACTCGACGATGGGGCACCATCGTGTTCGACTCGACGATCGGAAGTGCCACGTGGCGTTACGTGGTTGAATCTGGGCTGCGTGGTTGTGTCCTCACCGTCCGATCCTTCAAACTCAGGGTGCTCCGCTGTGGTTGTGCGTCACGATCTCGGGCCGTATGCTCGCTACGTAGTCGCGCTGAACACGCCTCTCGACAACGCTGTGGTCCGTCGTCGCGTCGAGCAGGTGGTCGGCTATGCGCGGACTGAATCCCTGCGCTCCGTTGCCGCGCTGTACACGAGTCTCCACTGCGCTGCGCTGTGGCACGAGCCTCCGCTGCGCTGCGTCGACGAACCTCCGCTGCGCTGCTCTACTGCTGCCTTGCCGAACTGAAACGAAAATGGGAATAGGTGGCCCTCCCTCATATATATAGTTTTTCGGGAGGGCCCTTCGCGAGCACCTGCTGGTCGTCCGATCCGGGAATACTGACGGTCGGGATTTTCCGATGGGGAGTGGTGGGCCTTCCTCATATAAGTGGTTTTCCGGGTGGGCCCTCCGCGCGCGCCTGCTGGCCGTCCGATCCGGGAATACGGACGGTTTGGGCGATCCAATGCCTGCAGTCGGCCGCGATCGTTTTCCCTCCTTGACCGGAGCGGAGGCGCGGGGATGACGTTCAGCTGCAGAGCAGAAATGCGATTCGGCCAGGGTTGTCAGGCGGGGGCCCCCGGGGGCAAAGCCGGGGTAGGGGTTCGACCCCCGGACCCCCGCCGCCGGGGTGGCCCACCCCCGCCC